AAAGTTCTTCGTTCAGATAATGGTTGTGAATACTTTCTTACTTCCTTTCAACAGTATTTAGAATAGCATGGATTCATCAAACTTCATGTGCATCCACTCCTCAACAAAATGGGGTGGCTGAACGAAAGAACCGTCATCTCCTTGAAATTGCTCGGTCTATTCTTCATCATATGAGTGTTCCTAAACGATTTTGGAGTGATGTACTTACTGCGTGTTTCCTTATTAATTGGATGCCCTCCTTCATTCTTCATGGTCGGTCTTCCTTCTCTATCTTGTTCCCCACCTTGGCTGTGTGTGCTTTGTTCACAATTTGAGTCCTGGAATAGATATGCTGGATGCACGCTCTATTAAGTGTGTCTTTCTTGGCTACTCTCGGACTCAAAAAGGGTACAAGTGTTACAATCCCATTACTCGGAAGTGCTATATCTGTCCTGATGTCACATTTTTTGAGTTTGTCCCCTTCTTCAGGGATCTTGGGAGACATACCCTTGGAGAGAGTGACTCTGTGTCTGAAAGGAACAAATCCCTTCTTGGATTTCTCCATGTTGTACCTGTTGACAATCTTGTCAATATTAAGTAGATTGGGACAATCCTATTATCCGTTTCAATCTATTTCTATAGAGTCAAAGTCCCAAGATGTAGGAGGCTTCTCCAAGATCTTTCATGGAGAATTGCTATGAAAGCCATACCTTCACCGTAGCCAACATTCCTACATCATTCCCAATGAGTAGAATGTCGTCTACATACAGAATTAGGAACGTAACTTTATCTCCCACTGTTTTCCTGTAAACACAAGGTTCATCCAAATTTTGCTCAAAGTCAAACTGTTTGACCATAGAGTTAAATCAGATGGTTCAACTTTTGGAAGCTTGCTTTAATCCATAGATGGATCTATTCAGTTTGCGCACCATGTGTTCCTAACCAAATGCAATAAAGCGTTGCGGCTGTTGCATATAGATATCTTCAGTAAGATCTCTATTCAGGAACGCGGTTTTGACATCCATATGCCAAATCTCATAATCGTAGTGTGCTGCTATGGCTAACAAAATTCGAATGGTTTTAAGCATGGCCACAGGCGAAAAGGTTTCCTCATAATCAACTCCTTTCTGAGTGTACCCTTTTGCTACAAGACGAGCTTTATAGGTCTCAACCTTTCCATCAGGGCCCTTCTTCCCCTTGTAGATCCATTTGCAACCAATTGCTTTCACCCCAAGGGGTGGGTCTACGAGAATCCAGACTGTTGGTTTTCATTGAGTTCATCTTGACTTTCATGGCATCTACCCACTTCAAGGAATCTATGTCCAACATAGCTTCCATACAAGTCACAGGATCTTCCTCACTATTCGTGGCTTCCATCAAGTAACTTTTTTTATCATAGCCATAACGAATTGGAGGCCTAGACACCCGAGTAGATCTTCTAAGTTGGGTGTTATCTGGAATCTGTGGGACATCTCCCACTACTCCTAAGCTCCCTTTGTCAAGAACAATTTCCTGACAATGATCATTCAAGATGTAATCCTCTTCCGAGAAGTAGGCATTTTCACTAACAAACACCTTTTGTTCTCTTGGGTCATAGAAAAGGTACCCTACTGAGCCCTTGGGGTAGCCTATAAATAGGCAATAGCTGGTCTTGGATTCCAATTTATCTGCACTTGTTCTTTTAACATGTGCTGGATTCCAATTTACCGGTCCATTGCTCATAAGGAGTCTTAGGAACGGATTTGGTTGGAACCCGGTTCAACACGTATGTTGCAATCCCCAATACATGTCTCCAAAAGTGTGATTTGATCCTCATCTTCAGACCAATCTGGATCCAAGACCTGTTTGTAATTACTATTTGAAGTTTGATGTAGAGGTATAGATGATCACAGGGGTCCACATGGATTGGAGGCTCCATCAATGATATTAGAGGCAACCTGTTATGGGATTTCAGTGGGCCTATTGGCAAACTGATGCCTCCAAAGCAGAAACTAGATCCCTTCTAACCAGTCTGAGGCTGGAAAATTCCTTTCATGTGTGGCCTTTACTTGTTGAAAGTGATTCAAGAAATGTGATTAGTCAGGCTTCTAGCAGTGGCTGCAGTCCTTGGAGACTTTCTCACTTCTTGAATGAGATCCCAGAGCTTTCTGGAGATCTTTTTTGCACCTATAGATGGATACCAAGGGAAATGAATTCTATAGCTGATTCCTTATCTAAATCTGGGGTGTACAAATCTTTTCTGTAAAGTGATAATTCATTGATGATGTAATTTGTTTGAGGGTGCATTTGGTTTTCTTTTTTTTTCGTTGTACATCCTTCATGTACATTCTCCCCTCTCCCCTTGTGATCCATTTGGTTGAATGAAAGTTGCCATTTAAAAAATATATATGGAAGAATAAACAAAGTCTTCCTAGTCAGATTGCGATGGTATAAATCACAGATGTAGAAGAAAACCCTACAACTTGGAGATGCCAATGTAGATTGTTCACTTAATAGGTTCTTCCATCAATTACAACAATTTGGGGTAGCCTTGTAGCCCATGTGGTGAAAGAAATTTTGTTTGGAAGGTCGTCATATTTCACCAAGGATACTTCCAAAGAGGGTTTAAAATCACTAAATTTTCCAAGATTTGCTTTGAGCAATCAATATTGTCATTGAACTTAATTTCTGTAACAAAATATTTAGGGTTCATGGAACGTGTAATAAAATCTGGGTAGGTCCCCAAAATGAAGCAAAATAAGGTTTTAGAGGCATTCCTAGTTTATTGGCTGCACTAAAATGTAGATGCTGATAAACTATTTTGTTTCTATCATTGACAATATTCTATGCTTGGATATCTGAATGAATTTCCACTTAAGCTTGCATGGAATTTGAGAAAAAAAAGGGAAGTCTTAATTAACTTACTAAATTATATCAATGAGGGATTTCCTTTGGAGAGGTTGGAAAGAAGAGAAGAAGTTTCATCTAGTTAACTGGAACAAAGTCTGCAGACCGAAAACCCAGGGTGGTTTAGGGGTGAGAAGAGTAAAGGATTTTAACACTGCCCTTCCAGGTAAATGGTTCTGGCATTTTGGGGAAAATCAAGGGGGTTTGTGGAGGAGAGTGATCCTTGTCAAGTATGGCAACAGAAATCTAGGGTGGGACCCAGGAGCTGCCAGCCAATCCTACAGATGCTCAGTCTGAAAAGGAATTGAGAAGGCTCATGGTGCTTTTGCAGAAGGGGTGAAGTTCAAGATTGGGTATGGGTTGAGGGTGAAGTTTTGGAAGGATGTTTTGTGTGGAGAAAGGCCACTGGGAGAAACTTTTCCTGATCTCTTTGAGATGGCGGTAGGTAAATAATCCAAAGTAGCAGACTGTATGCAGCTGCAAGATGGAAGTGTGGTGTTGCTTCCTCAATTTAGAAGAAATTTAAATTACTGGGAGATGGATGCAATGATGGAAATGATGCATTTGCTATATAACACAGACGTAGAAATTGGGAGGGATGACTACAGAGTTTCGCAATGGACAAGGAAGGAAAGTTCACAGTCAAATCTTTTCACAGTGCTTTAACCAATAGAGAAGAACAGTTAGTTCCTGCCAACATCATTTGGTGCAAGAATGTACCCCCAAAAATTGCCTTTTTGTCTGGACTGCTTATTTAAACAAAATTCAAACCACGGATAATCTCCTGCAGAAGAGAATGCTTTTGGACTCAACAGATTGTGTTCTTTGTGAAGGCCACTAGAATCTGTGGACCATCTTCTGTTGAATTGTCATTTTTCTTTTGAGATATGGTCCAGAATAGCTCAACTTTTTGAGGTGCAAAGCTGTCCAGGATCAGTAGCGGAGTTTATAAAAGGTTGGAGGGTGGAAGGTCTAAGAAAAAGAGGAAAACTGATCTGGAACATAGTCCCAGCGGTGGTGTTTTGGTGCTTATGTATGGCAGGAGAGAAACAAAGGGTCTTCAAAAATAAGATTAGCTCTCCAGGTGCTGTTTTTCATAAAATTTTGGGATAAATGTATTTAGGGCTTATGGGTCATTTGCACTTTAAGAATATAGGTTTCAGTTCCTTTTTTGTATATGAAAATCTTTTTGTAAAGCACAGTGGGGGTATAGTACTGCCAGGGAAGTTTTTTTTATCAGTCCCTGTCTATATCATCTTGTTGTACATGTTTTGTTTTTCTTGATATATTCTCACTTTATCTTGTCTCAAAAAAACTTACTAAATTAGTTCATCAAAAAAAATTAACTGGCTAAATTAATATCTTGTGATTTCCCTTTTAGGTTTTAGAGGCTCTCAAGGATTCAACATCAACTAGACCAGCTATTTTTGCAATGTCAAACCCTACCAAAAATGGTAAGCAAATTCTGAGAAGTCTTGCGTATGAATTGAACATTGTCAATTGCTATAATTTCTAAATCCTTTCTTTTGCAGCTGAATGCACCCCTGAAGAGGCATTTTCCTATGTGGGTGACCATATCATATTTGCTAGTGGAAGCCCATTCAAAAATGTTGATCTTGGTACGTGACTTAATATGTACATTGTTCAGCCACTAATTCATTCATTCATAATTTCATTTCTAGAGTGTTTTAATGATTCACAACTAACTGTGGCAGAGAAGAAAAGCACAAGATGCTTGGCAAAACATTAGGAACACTGTACTCTATACTAGTATGCAACATTAGGGATACAAACGGATCGGATTGGATTCAAATCAGGGTATATTCGAATCTGATTCGATACTATTCATGTCGGATCTGATCCGATCGGATCTGATAGGACTCGATTGAATTTGAATCCTATCTGTAAATCAGATCTTTGGATCTGATCCAATCCTACATGTTTTCTTAAAAATTAATAAATTATTAAAAGAAAAATAAAATGTACTAATTTAAATAAAGTAAAAACAGAAAATATAAGTATTTTTTAATTATTTTCATCATTTATATGCATGTTTTTTATAAAAAAATAAATAATATAACAAATTTATAAAAATATTATATAAAAAATATTTATAAATAAATAAATAACATATATATGTGTATTATATATTTATATTTATAAATATATAATATACATCAGATCGGATCTTCTTGGATCGGATAGGGGTGATCCGAATTCGAACAATAGGACCAGATCTCGGATTGAATAAGATCATGATCCGATCCATTTGCACCCCTATGCAACATTAGCAAAGTTGTGCAATGGAGCCTAAATATTTCAGAACCTGATATTGTAATGCATCAGCATAGAATTGACAGAGGATCATTGAAACATTACATAAACTCAATGTGAGACTGTATTTTGATATGCATGTTGACTGAGTGGAACATGGCCAATAAGCCTACCTAACAATCAAGAATATAATTCCATGAAAATTAACCATCTCTTTTTTGCTCAGGCAAGATGGTAAAGGTAGCCTATTAATCCCCTTTTTTCTATTCATTGTTATTTCTTCCTTCTTGGGAGGAAGGGGGCTATAAACCATACTAGAAGTGGCTCAATTATTGGAAAATCCTGATCAATAAGCACTCCTTATGCAAGGAGAGGAGCTTAGACTATTTATGAGTGTAGGAGAGTGAAACATATTATCGGAAGTGTAATATTGTAATTGTACCATCAGTTAGTATTTGAATAAAAGAAAAGTAATTGGTTGAATAGATCAATCCCACAATTGAACCTCAAATGCTCCCTCTTTCTTTCTTCTTTATGGATTTCTTCTTCTTTCTTCATCCCTCTCTTCCTCTATTAGATCCAAGGTTATAAGACAACTTGGTAATAGAGCATCTACAGAGAAAAACAAGGGATGCTTGGATGCTTGCACAGTTCCTTGCTGATGTCATCATGGCCTCGGGGGAATCACTCAATAGTACCAGTCAATGGTAGATCTTTTGTGGATTCTGAAAACAATTTTTTGAGGAAATTTTGAAAAAAAAAAGCATGAATTTTTCTGATCAGGGGGCATCACTCAATAGTACCAGTCTATGGTATATCTTTTGTGGATTCAATAAAACAATTTTTAGGATTTTTGGAGGTACCTATATGATTCTTTTGAGGAAAACTCAAAAAACAAGCATGAATTTTTCTGATCAAACAATCCGATCAAATGTTTTTGGGGTTCAAGGAGATAAAAAACAATGTAAACAATGCATGTGTATGTTAAGCCAAAGAATAGAAGAAAATAAACATATGAAGGGATAGATCCCTTTCCATTTTGAATGTGATAAAGACTTAGAGGAGTGATGTGTGAGTGTGTTAACCATAGAGAGAATAGAAGAAAACAAACATATGAAGGGACAGAGTCCTTGTTATTTTGGATGTGATAGAGATGGGAGGAGAGAATATGAAAATGTATTGATTGTAGAGAAAAGGGAAGAAAATGAGGGGTAGACCCTTAACCATTTTATAGTATTTGATGAGTCACCTGCAATGATTAAGTTCTGGATTCCCAATTTATGACTCAGTGACCCATATTTTGCTTACAATTAGAAAGATAGGAGTAATCGTAATAGATTTTTAGAAAAAACAAAACAAAGCAAAACAAAAGAGGTGGCAAAGCCCTCCCTAGGTTGAAAATTGGTGTTTATGAAATCCTTCTGCATTTATGTTATCAACCCATGATTGAGGTGGCCAATCGGACTTGTCAACCTGTCACTAGACCAAAGGTCCATTTCACCACTGGACCACTTATCACCATTGACTCAGTCAACAACCCAATGACCTGTCTGGTTGAACTGCTGAACTGTTTGACCCAGTCATTGAGTCACAGGTTAGATATTAGTTCACTTTTTTACTGTTTTGTATTTTTATCCATTTTCATCATTTATAAAATAATTTTTATTTATCATATTTTTTTAATATGATGAATATATAATATTAGAGATATGCCCAATTTTTCTACATATTTTCTGTATTTTTCATTATTTAATTATAGGGAAAATTCCTGATCAGTACCCTGTACTTTAGGGGTTGTCTTGTCTCAAGTCAGTCCCCAAACTTCAAAATGTGTCTCTGCAGTACCTGAACTTTCAAAATGTGTCTAATAGGTCCCTGCCGTTAACAGTCCGTCAGTTAATTTTGGAAATGTCAAAATTGTCTTCTACCTTGAGACTGAAGACGGAAATGTTATAGATCGTTACCAATCTAACAAGTTCTATGGATTCTTTGTTTTCAGTTCTTAAAATAAAATGGCAAGAGGTAGCAGAACATCTTTCCCTGAGAATAACTTCAGAAACAGAGAATAACTCATGATAGTTATAGCAAAAGGCTCTCCCTTGTGCCAAGGGTTTTAATAAAGCCAATAACATTACATATCATGTAAACTTACTGTGCGTCTTTCCATATGAGAATAAAGCGAGAAAGACGCGAAAAACACTATTTGGAGCTTCCTGAAACCAGAACAAAATGGGCTTCTCGTGTCTTTTTGGCGCACTGACTTGTGACGGCTAGATCTGTTACAAACTAAACAGAAAAAGACTGCGGCACAGTCTGCCCGGTCTGTAAACAACCAAAAGACCACACAGAAAGATGCACTCAACAGTCTTTTCTTTCCAGAAGAGAGAGAAAAGAGAGAGGAGAGGAGAGAAGAGAGATACGAAGAGAAGAGAAGAGAAAAATTGTTTGAGAGTCAAAAACTGAAGCTGGCTCCCAGCTTCCTATTTGTATTAACATGATGTAAAATAAAAGAAACAGAAATTACAAGCATGCCCCTGGTGGCCCACCCTAATAATAAGAACTTACAAAGAAAAGAACATGCTAACAGCACCCTAACAGCAAAATAAAAAGACTAATTCTAACAACACTCCCCCTCAAGTTGGGCTGAATATATCTATCATGCCCAACTTGTCACACAACTCATTATGCCGCAAGTATGGAAGCCCTTTTGTGAGAACATCAGCTAGTTGCTCCTTGGAGTTGGCATAAGGAGTACAAATTTCTCCCTTCTCCAGTTTTTCTCTTATGAAGTGCTTGTCCACTTCAATATGCTTGGTCCTATCGTGTAGGACAGGATTGCTAGCAATATTTATAGCTGCCTTGTTGTCACAGTAAAGAGACATAGGATTGTAAATAGTTATCCCAAGTTCCCCTAGAAGATTTTTTAGCCAAAGTACTTCAGCGACCCCATGTGCCATAGCCCTATACTTCGCTTCAGCACTTAACCTTGCAACTACACTTTGTTTTTTGCTTCTCCATGTCACTAGATTTTCTCCCACAAATGTGCAGTATCCACTTGTGAACTTTCTATCATCCACAGCACCTGCCCAATCAGCATCTATATAGACTTCCACCTTCATATAATTATGTTTACTGAATAGCAACCCTGTTCCTGGATACTTCTTCAAATACCTAAGAATCCTCTCTGTTGTCTCCATGTATGTCTTAGGAGAATGCATGAATTGGCTTAGGACCCTAACTGAATAAGCAATGTCTGGACATGTCAGGGACAAATAGAGCAACATTCCCATTGACCTTTGAAACTGTTTCACATCTTTTAGAGGTTCACCATCACAATCACCCAGTTCATGATCTACATCCATAGGAGTATCTGCTAGCTTTGCTCCTAACTTGCCTGTTTCTTGTAACAAATCAAGGACATACTTCCTTTGAGAAATAAAGATGCCCCTTTTTGAGCGGGCAACTTCAATTCCAAGAAAGTACTTTAGTGGACCCAGATCTTTCACTTCAAATTTGGAGGCTAGTAATGTCTTCAACCTTTGTATTTCTAAGCTCCAGTTTCCTGTAATGATGACATCATCCACATACACTATTAGTACAACCTGTTCCTGACATCTCTTCATAAAGAGAGTGTGATCAAACTGACATTGTTTGAATCCTACTTGCTGGACCACCTTATGAAATTTACTGAACCATGCCCTGGGAGATTGTTTTAAACCATAGAGAGACTTTCTTAGCTTGCACACCTTATTTTCACTCCCTTTGGCACAGAACCCTGGGGGTTGAACCATGTACACCTCCTCCTCCAAGTCACCATTTAAGAAGGCATTCTTTATATCCAACTGATGTAATTCCCAATCAAGGTTCGCATCCAATGATAGAAGAACCCGAATTGAGTTCATCTTAGCTACTGGAGCAAACGTCTCATCATAGTCAACACCATAGACTTGACTGTACCATTTTGCTACCAACCTTGCTTTGTACCTTTCAACTGTCCCGTCCGCCTTGTGTTTCACTGTAAACTGAAAGAATGGTAGGATCCATCTAATGGACGCCATAAAGGTTGCGGAATGAGTGGGCGAATTTCAAAAATTTTCCTACCTTCTTCTTCCAACTGGGAATCACATTCCCTAATTTAAGAATACAATATTCAAGGATCCTACTTGAACCATAATCGAACCAGATCTGGACCAAAAGAGAAGGGAGGAATTATACCTGATCCAGAGAAGCAATATCTCC